GTAGGTGCTTAAAGGCGGGATTTGTGTAATGACGCCTGCAGCTGCAAGCATGTGTCTGGGTTGTAGTCCGTTCAAAGTTCCCGAACAATTATGTCTGGATAGGTACCGAGTCAAAAGTATCCGAAGCTGAAGGGGCGAAGTCCCGTCAAGACATGAGGGGCTTTGCTTAACATTTTTTCCGGAGATGTCTGAGATGCTCGGCTTGAAAATCTCAAGTCTTGACACTCCCCTAACCCTCCCCCCAGCACTAAACTCTCTAAACATCCTTATCCCTGAACCCCGAGCCCCTAACCCGAAACACCTTTTAAACCGAAAATTTCAAGAACCCCCACAGCAACCTGCTGAGACCCTCATAGAACCCTCCTAGGACCCTAGGACCTTTGCGCCCAGCGAAGCTGAGTCTGTTGTCGGCCTCAGCACCTGTGATCTTATTTTCCGGACAGGGCCGGGCCTCTCACTGTGACAGGAGCAAGAAGTGAGCTGAAATAGGGCTGCATCAGGAAACCATGGGTTTAGGGTTTAGGGTTTAGGGGTTTAGGGGTTTAGGGTTTAGGGTTTAGGGTTTAGGGCCAGGAAAGCCATAGCTACAGAGGTCTTCAGATCAGGGGTACTTACTTCATGAGGGTCCCTTTCGCGTTTATGGGGACTCCATCGTTCCTGATACTATACTCCCAGGTGTCGTGCCTCTTGTGTGCACAACCAAAACCGTGCAAAACCGGGCCAGGTGACGAGGCACCTTACCTCAATGGAAAAGGTGGGAGATTCTCCCTGGAGTCAAAAGTAGATCTTAAACAGAAACACTTATCTATGAGGGCCTCAGTTCGCATCGATCTTGTTCCACACGCCGGAGGGTAGGGCAATGAACTGCTTTGCAAAGTCTTCCATCTTCCAGAGCCTGCCCCGGAGATCGCTGATTTTCTGACTGGCATCGTTGATGTTGTGGACCAAGGACTCGTAGTCAGCCTGGAGTTGCCTTGCGTACTTGTTCTCGTGCTCTTCAACGTCCGGCTTGATGCCTCTCTTCTTCCAAAAAAGTTCAAACTTTTTAAGATAGACCCTAATATATAAAGCCAAAAAGTTTAAAGTTCTCCCACTGGCCATCTAAGATGCGGAACACCAAGTTCACCTTCTTGTCCTGGAGAGAAACCCCCAGAGAAACCCCGAAGCTTCTGCACCACAACTGCTGAAGCCTACACTTGGGTTCAGGGTTCAGGGTTTAGGGTTTAGGGTTCAGGGTTTAGGGTTCAGGGTTTAGGGTTTAGGGTTTAGGGATATGCCCTATACTTCTACCATTCTCTCGTCCTGAAGGAGAATGCTGTTGTTCGGCGCCGCCGCGGGAAGCGGGAAGGAGCCGTTCGCACGCCAGCGCTCCGGGTGCTCCCCATGGGGGCCATAAGGCGAGGAGGTGATGACATTTCCTTACTTCCCCATAAGCCAGGGAAATAAAAGTAGTTTAAACTTTCAGATTACTTTCAGGTGATAAGAACCCAAAAAGTTTAAAGGTTGGGTATTGGAGGACTAAGTTTCCGACACCCCAGCGCTTTCTGTCCACGATCGTCTTGAGATTCCACACGACCTCCATCTCCTTGTTCACGTAGATCAGGATCTTGTTGATGTACCTTGCTCTCGGAGGAAGCTCCTGCTTCCGGGGTGCCAAAGCTCGAGGCTCTTCGGCAAGAAAGCGGCCTGTGCGGTTCCAGACGACTTCATGGCCCGTGGCGTTTGAAACCAGCTGCATCGTGTAGTTGACATATCCGTCCAGTACCCCCAACACCTGGTACTCCTGCACTATCGGATTTTGAAGTGGCTGAAGCAGCTTTTTGAAGTGGTTCTTGGTCCGGGTGCTGATGTCCCTCAGCCACTTGTCACTTCGGCCAGGCTCTTCGATAGCGTCACCGAAAGGATCGCTGTCCTCTGTCTGCCCACGTAGCTGCTGTCCACTGGCGAAGGGGTTGGGCTCAAAGAGCACGGGTTCCGCCGCAACCAGCGCAGGGAGAAGTGAGAGCGTGAGTCGAAGAGCCATGGCGAAATTAGCTTCGGGACGCGATGCTCTCTGAATCTTCGAGAAAAACTTGCGAGATGTGATTCTGATTCTGCGGTTCAGGGCCGCAGGAATGAGACAGCACGCTAGGCAAAGTTGCACGCACAGAATCGGCGGCAAAGTGTCCCAAATAGCCTGAGAAGGTGTTGCTAGTTGATGGATAGCTGCGAATAAGTCGCACTAATGCCGCACGAAGGTTCTGTCACATAGCACTCACCCCAAAAACCCGAACTTCAAATCCCAAACCCTTGCACAAGAGACCCCAAACCCCAAACCCTAAACCCTAAACGCTAAACCCTAAAACCCTAAACCCTAAACCCTAAACCCCAAACCGACCTTTCGAGCGGATCCTTGCTGTCGCCTTCAGGAATATCGTCGGAGAAAAGTCTGCAGGTCTGCCGGAGGAGGATTTGTAAAGCTCCCCCTATACGGGTAGTTCTCTAAATTAGGGCCCCCTTTTAGGGTCCTTTTTATAAGGGTGCCGTACTATTTTGGGGACCTAAAAGGGGATCCTAATTTAGAGAACTACCCATACAACTATTGGGGTTGAGTTGGTCTAATACAGGGGCCTTAATATAAAAAAAAAGGTTTTGGGCCCCAGAATACTATAATTATACTAAGGAACCCCCAAAAACCCTATTCTAATAATTAAGGCCCCTATACGAATCCCTCCACAAGTTCGTCTGAGGACCCAGACAGAGCCCAAACCGTCCAGAACGACGATGGGCGGCACCAGCGCGCCGAGGGACTGCGAGAAGGGAAATGCCTGGCACACACAAAACACAACTCCAAAGAGCCCCTAAAACCCTTAACCCCAATAATCCCGAATACCCTAAAGCCTCTCTCTCTCCACCCTAAACCCTTAACCCCAATAAACCCCAATACCCTAAACCCTCTCTCTCTCTCCCGGTCTCTCCCTTCCCCAGACAGTCGAAATTTCAAGCCTGATTGAAAGCCTGCACTTGCGACCCTACGTGAAGCAAAAACCAAAATCCCAGCTACACCCTGAAGGCTGCAGGGTTTAGCCTACTTCCCCGAAAAGCCACAGAAACAAAAGGTTTTAGCTTTCCGATCACATATACCCTGATCCTGCAGGCCACCGAGACTCAGACTGATTGTGATCTTGTGGTGCTGGACCCTGCGCCCCAAGCCCTAAAC